ATGTTTTCCTTGGGTAAGTTTTGCTGCATATCTTGTTCTATAACATCTTCTAAGAACAAACTGTTCTCAGAAAAACACAACACAGCTGACACAATTGATTCACTATCCTGATGCAGTTGCTCAAAGGTATCGCTAAACATCATTTTAAATTATTTGTCTTATTATGTCTTCAGTCCCAAAAACAATTTCTCTTTCCCACAAATAAGCAATTATTCTTATAATTTCAGAGTCTTTCTCTTATTTCAGAGTCTACTCTTATTCAGAGTAATTTCAGAGTCTTAATATTCAAAGTCCAATTTCCAGTGCTTTCTGAGCCCTTAATCTGTTTAAAAACTTAGCCAAAACCTTGTCTAGCTTTTTGCTGTTTAAGTTCTTAAAATTTATAAAAATAAATCTTCACCCTCTTATATTAAGGATTGAAGGCATTCACTAGCTATTTCCAGCCTTGTCACTTTGTAGGTGTCTAACTTCTTTGAAGCAGTTAACAGGCAATTAGAAGGTAGTTATTAGGGGAAAAGTCCTTTAAAAAAAAGCTCCATTTGCAGCTTGAGCAATTATGGAGAATTCCTATCTCCCTATTTCCCCTTGCACCTGAGATTGCTGTCGTGCAGTCTCTCCATGAGGAAAAGGAACAATCGTAAGCTTGGACAATCTTGCTGTGTCTCTTTTGTCCAGAGAGGAGTGCAGGAGCCGATATGTTAATCGGCTCCTTATTAAAGTCCGTAGACTTCAGCGCTGCTTTACATGGAGCTGTCTTCAGTCCGCCATCTTCCCCAGGAAGAATTTAACAAAAGGTTCTGAGAAGAATGTTAAAATTGTGCCACTTTTCCCAACATCTTAATTATGTCCCTTTCACTTTTTACTACCACCTAACTACTTGTGAGGCCCATCTAATACTATACAGGTAGACTTTTGCACATATGATGAGATTTTGCCTTCTTTCTGCATCCACAAATGTCCACAAATCCTACCTCCTAAGTTTCAAGAATTTATATGGACTGAGGGAATTTGGTTTTGATTCTATTGTGTGGGATATCCCCGGACACAACATATTTTGCATTCACTCTCCTTCCAAAACTTAGTCATCAATTTCCTGTGGTAGATCTTTTGCCACTGGCTTAGTACAGTAGTAGATCCTGTTCTCTCTGGTAATCTGAACAGCTAAAACAGATAGTATACACAGCTAAAGATCAAAACAGAACTGCACTCCTTTGGAAACTACTTCAAAACAGAAAATACTTAACTAAAATTAGGACATCATGTATTTGTGGGAAAAATATTCACCAGGTTTCCCTAACCTAATATGATTAAGAATTTCAGCATCGTAGGACATGTAATATTGCTCTCAATACTTCATAAGTGTTTGTACAAGCAGTCAATAGAAATCTGATGCAGATCTGAATTATGTATAAATATATTGTGGTGGTAAAAGGTACCCCCCCCAATACACATATAAGCTGCATTCACTACCAAACCTCTGAGATGCCCCCCATACATATGAACTACTTAAAGTGCCCTTGTAAGAAAACATTCACAGCAAGCTGAATTGACCCTGAGTGGCAACAGGGAGAAGACTCAGTCAGGAACCTGTTGTCCAGTAAACCAAAGTGTTTCTATTCACTGACCATATCTCAAAGATAGTATGGCTAGCATACTGACCTAGTAGGAAGGGATAAATAATAAAGTCATACTGATGGGTTTATCCAAAATATTCCAACATCATGCTGTAATTTTCACAGTGTCTGCCTTTTTCTTTTTTTGCCTTTGCCTTTTTTCGTCTTGCAATGTAGTGGGCAAAGGTATATAAACCCTGGTTCTTATTTTGCTCAGGGCCACTCAGCAAAGTATCAAAGCTTTGCTGGGGGTCCAGGATATACTGTATTATTGCTCGCATGCATGCAAATAAAATTATGTTTTTAGCAATTTGGTTGCTTAGGTGAGCCAGGTTTGGCCACAACGATATGGTACTCCAGAGGAAATACAACTAGAACTATGGAATACTAAATATCCTACAATGATCCAGCTAAAAATGATGAGCCCTTTAAACTAGGTTCAACCATACAAGTTCAATCATGTTCTTATTATCAAATTGTAAAGGGTTTTAGCATCAGTAGTTGTTTTTAAGGAAAACTAATTTACAAATGTCCCTGTGATGTTCAGATGGTAGAAAGGAAACCTGCTTATATATTATACATGGCAGTTCCAGGTTCTGATTGTCTACTGCTTAATAATGATAATTAGATTATGAAATTCTTTATACTTTTATAAGAAACATTACTTTTCTGAACAAAGATAAAAGAAAACATACCCATGTGATTACTGAGGCAATAATTATAAAGAAAATAAAGAACATACAACTTGACATGAAGATCTGCAGTTTTTTAATTGACTTTTCCTACTCACTTTCCTGATCAAGAAATGAGAAAGTGTACTAATTATCAAAAATAGATAGCAATTCTTGTGATATTTAAGAGTACCTGTTGTGTTTCTTGCACCATCTTTCCAGGTATCAGGCGTAATTACTGTACCAAGTTTTCTTTCACCTATGAAGCAGCATAGAAAAGACAGAATAAAAACTATGATAATATAATAGATTATAACAGCACAGTATGTTCAGCAAATATCATTTCACAGATTCAATTAAGCTGAACAGCAGAAATCCTAATAATATAAATACTAGTAATACAAAGTACTGCATGCCATGTAGACAATTTTTCTATAACTATGACACTCTAGGAAAATTGGACAGCCATTGATGATGCATGGAGTCTGCCCTATGACTCAAGAAGTTGCCCTATGGGATTTAGTGAGGTTTTTCTACTAATACACGTTTTTAAAGCTGCGAGGTGTTGGTCCTTCTAAATACAGTAAGGATTACTTATCAATAACTATGAACAGGTCTATGACACATGTTCACAAGAAATTCTGATTGAAAACAGGACATAAATGTAAAAATAACAAACAGGAATGCAAATGAATTAGGGTTTGCAGATTATGAGGAATATACAGCAAATCGAGTTAGTAGAAATTCCCATGATCACATATGTTGCTGCTTGATGTGTAATCACCACATAAGCTCCATGAGCCTAGGAAAGATTAGAATTGCTGTCGTGGATGAAATTTGTATCATAATAGTCCAATCTTGGCTATTGAGTTTTGACAATATACCAGTTGATAGTTTTGAGAATAAAGTATGCATTTTTACAAAAGAACAAAAGAAGGCAAGTTTGTTTCTGGGTTCATATGCTCTAGGAATTAGAATATTTAGGAATTAGAATATTTAGCTATGTTGTCAGTGTAGCACCTTTTACAGAGAAATCCATGTAAAGCTGTAATCTTATACTCACTGAAATCATTACTACTTTCTAAATTGACACCTGTAGGATTACGCTAATTTTAATCCCAGTATTCTGGATGATAGACTTGTTTCCTGGAAGTCTGCAAGTGGTATGTATACCACTGAATTACATCAAGTTAACAGGAATTATGTATATATAAACAAAGATAGATTAGGATATAGGTTTTTCTATGCAGATCTTAATATTAAAAAAATTGAGAAAAAAGAAAAATCTTATAGTCACTAGAGCATAATTCTCTAGTGACCATAATCTTTGTGTAGCCAAGTAGCTAAGAGAGAGAGTAAGAATTCTTGGAACTGTAATCACTATACATCACTACACAATCCTATGGGTTGAGAAAGGTTGTACTGATAAGCTTGAATCCTGTTTTTGAAATTAGTATCTTTCAGGTTCAGTTCTCTCTTTCCCATCTACATTATGAACTTTGTAATTAACAATCACAAAAGCTGACAAAAAATTATTAGCACAACAAACCTCTCCTACTGTTGTATCTGAACAATACATTCCAGGCATTTTGTTACCAGTGATTTTCAGAATATCAAACAGCCATAATTGCTAGGACCTACTGAAAACTTTACAGTATTCACAATTTTGAGAATCAAAGTATCCAACAAACAGCAACTTCATGGCACCTGTTCCTCTAAGTCACTTTAACTGCTTTGAAAACCTCCCTCATTGCGCATTCATAATAATGCTTCATCTGATTCAATAGCTCCAAACAGAATAATCTTAGGTATGTATACCCACAGAACCAAATTCCATTAAGTGCAGTCAGGATGGCAACATAAGGCAACGGTCCCCAAACTTCTGTTTTAAGTATGACACAAAGAAACAAGTCCTTGGCTTTTACAGCAGGTAGCCCTCTGTTTCTGCTTGTGGTACTGAACTGAGAGCACCAGGCACCGACTCGTTCAGAAATACTACTAGACTTCCTTACCGGGCGGGGGGTGAGGGTGGGGGCGGGGCAGGCAGCCGTTCCTTACAGGAGAATCCCGAGATCTATGACAGAAGCGCCGGGCCACCTGGATTTTACTCATTTCTCAGGAACGAGCTCCAACGAACTGCTCTATTGTTGTTAAAAGACCCTCCCCACCTTACACCGCGTGTTCTCCCACCATCACCCGTTCCTTCAACTCACACTTCTCGCACACCATGGCGAAGGCCTAAAACACCGAACCGAAACCGGCGAAAAACCGTCAGCCAGCTGACAGAGACTCGAAGCTCCTCACCACCACAACATTCCACTTCCGAACCTTCCTGACCCTCCACGTTTCCGCTTCCGGGTTCCTCGCTCGCTCCTGGCGTCTACTGGTTGAGAGCGCCTTAGAGACTGGCGGATTGTTGTACGGAAGTAGTCATGACGTAGGGCCCGATGACGCTACTGGGGGTTGAGTGCTGCCGGTAACGCTAAGGGAGAGCGGAGGTTGTTTCTAGGTGAATGTATGACGTATTTTCGAAGCTTTCCGTGTTAGCATCTGGGAAACGGCAGGTAAGCTGGAGTTTCTTGCCTCTGGTAGTGGCGATCCTGCGTCGATATTTTTCCGGATAGCAGCCTCCTAAAAGCATGCACGTAGGTGAAGGAAGGGAAGCGGGGAAGGACTAATGTCATTAGTGGTCTTAATTAGTCCCTTGCACGTTTTCACCCCGTCTCCATCTTATCGCATCTCGGTAGGAAAAGTAACTTATTTAAACAAACAATGCAAAGGCTGGCCTGAAGTACCTTTCGGTGCCCCGTTCTGAATAAAAACCTGTATCTATAGGTGTGTCTGTTAGTCTCCATTCCTCAACGGTACAGGTTGCTTGGAAGGAGGTCAGATCTGAACAATGACTCAGACAGAGATACATCCTCTTTTTCTAAGGCATTTGCAACTGAACCACCCCAGAGCATAGGAGAAGTTGGAAAGACTCAGAGTCATTCATTTGGATTGGCATCTTCTTGAATGGAAGCATGCTGAAGGTCTTAAAAACCATTCTTATCAGCTATTTTAAATATTTTTATTTTCTTTCATACAACAAATTGTAACTTTGAAGCCTACTTGTTTTTTCATGTTGTAGGGACATTTTCTATGCTATAAACCCATTTCATCTCTGCAGGAATGCATTGCCTTTATCTTTTATACAAAAGAGAATTTCCTTCACTACCAATATTAACATAAATGCCTTAATTTCCTTCTCAACAGGTAGAAATTAAAAATAATACAGCATGAGAGATACAGAAATAAAGAGACTGCTGACTGCCAATGTCATCTGTATCTTTTCTGTTGTTGTAACCACTACTGTTCCTTCTTTGTTCTTGAAGAATTTCTCAATCCTGGACACACACTTGACATGGCTGTGCATCTGTTCAGCAAGTGTTGGTGTTATAAATATAATTTTACATATGATTTTTAAGCCATATTTATCTACAAGAAGATATTCTCTTGCCCACAAGGTATGTTATGATCTTGATAAAACTTAATTGTTGGTATGGATAACACTTTTACTTGGCATCTTTGACAAAAATATTCTATATGCAGTAATGCTACGTGGTAGGCCATATGAGAGAGTAAAACTGAATGAATGATTCCATGCCTTCAACTATTTAGGAACTTTATGGCTGCGGTCAATAAAACTCAAAGCTCCATATCTTCAGCATTATTCCACGCCACTTCTCTCTCACCTAAAACAGTAAAATATATCTAACCATCACATCCTATAAGTAACTAAA